TTTCCCTGTGGCCAGTTCCCTCCCACCCCCATCGATCACTTGACCTGGAATCCTGCCATCATTCCTAGGCTACACATGCTGGCCCAGGGGAGTTGACCTGACCCCCTGTTCAGGCAGCTCCTCAGAGCCTGAAAGGCAGCCTGGGTTCCAGGAAAGGGCCAAACCTGGCTGGCTGCCGGGCCCCAGCCCCCTCGGTCGGGGCACTTCATCTGCTCTCTGTCTAGGGCCTGTGGGCGAGCCTGTGATCACTGCTGGTTAGAGAGGGGTGACTGAGCGCAGATGGGAGGATGCAGAGTCTCCACGGAAGCCACCACCTTGCTTAGTAGGAGGCCAGGGAGCCAGGAGAGGTGGCAGCCCTGTTCCCGCTCTGGGCTCTTCCACCCCCTGGCCGTGTGAACTTGTGCAGGTTCCTGCCCCACCCTGGGCCTCAGTGTCCTAATCTATGCGCTGGTCACCTCACAGCCTTTCCTGCTCTGATGGCCCTGGGTTGTTGGTCCTGGCTGATAGCATGAGGCTGGCAAGGGTTTATCACCACACAGAGGCTGGTTAGGACAGGGACCAGCTGCAGTGACTGACTTTGGAGGATTTATCGCTTGCATTAAGGGTGTGCACTGATGGGGCAGGGGTGGGGTGGGGGGAACTCTACCCCTCCCCAAGCCCTCCACCAGTGCTCCAAGACAAATGGCAGCTGCTGTGCTTGCTAACACTTTGACATCTCCCAGCCTAGCTCCTTTGATCCTCCCCAGGGGTACTTCCTCAGAGCAAAATCACCCTGAAGGGCAGGGCAGGTGGGGCTATTGGGGAGGAAGGGCTGGGGTAAGCGGAGGGGCATGTTCATAAGCACTTGTCCCGCCCTCCCAGCTGAGAGTTTCGAGGGACCCCACCCCGGGGGCGCAGAGCGAAGGGGCTGCCGGTTTCACCAAGCAGGCTGTCCTGGTCACTCGGGGTCCCTGCCTGAGGCTGTCAGCCCCGGGACTGGTGTTGTCGATCTCCGCCTGAGAAGACGGCTCAGCTCTCCGTCAGCCGGCTGTGATCCGCTCCACCAACCCCAAGACGCTCCGGCCCTCCTCCCTCCCGGCTTGCGCGTGAACAAGTCCCTCTGCTCCCTCCTCTTCTTGGGTGTAAGGCAGTGCTGGCCAATACAATTTTCCGGGGCGATGGAAATGTTCTCTATCTGTGTTGTCTGATAAGGTAGCCAGCCTTGGGCTTCACAAGCGGCTATTGTGACTGAGGAACTGAATTTGGAACTTTATTTTCATTGATGTAAATGCCCACTTGTAGTTAGCGGCTTGCACGTTGGATGGTGAAGGTTTGAAATTTTCCAAAAGAAATTAAAAGAGGGGAGCTATAGGCACACCTTACTTTATGGTGCTTTGCTTTACTGCTCTTCACAGATACTGCGTTTTTTTACAAATTGAAGGTTTGTGGCAACCCTGCATCAAGCAAGTCTATCGTATCGGTGCTGTTTTTCCAACAGCATTTGCTCACTTTGTATCTCCGTGTCACATTTTGGTAATTCTCACAATATTTCCAACACTTGCATTATTTTTGTTATGGTGATCTGTGATCAGTTATCTTTGTTACTACTGCAACTCCCTGAAGGCTTAATAGTAGTAATTTTTAGCAATAAAGTATTTTTTAATAAAAGTATGTACATTTTTTTAGACTAATGCTATTGCACACTTAATAGACTAAAGTATAGTGTAGACATAACTCTTACATGCACTGGGAAACCAGAAAAATCCATGTGACTTGCTTTATTGTGATACGTGCTTTATTACAGTGGTCTGGAACCAAAACCCACAGTATCCCCAAGGTATGCCTGTAAACATACAAGTATCAATACTGTGATAGTGTTGGCAGTGTTTGCAGAGGAACTATTTTGGATTCTAATTTCAAGACTGACTTCCACTGTCAGATGACAGCTTAGTTGGAGAATCACTCAGTCCTGCAGGCTTTCCCTGTTTTGTCCTTCCTTCCTTCCTTCCTTTCTTCCATTATGTTGAAGAAATGAATTATGGAGCATCCAGTTCTCACAGCTTAGAGCCCATAAGAGGCCTAATGCAATGGAGAGCAGCCATTAAAGGTTTTTGAGATGGCGTGAAGTTTTTTGTTTTTTTTTTTTTGTGGCCTCTCCCGTTGCGGAGCACAGGCTCCGGACGCGCAGGCTTAGCGGCCATGGCTCACGGGCCCAGCCGCTCCGCGGCATGTGGGATCTTCCCGGACCGGGGCACGAACCCGTGTCCCCTGCATCGGCAGGCAGACTCTCAACCACTGCGCCACCAGGGAAGCCCGTGAAGTTTTTTGTTTCATTTTATTTTTGATGGACTCTAGTTACCTAGAATTAGATTAAATCATAATCCTGGGTTTGTGACATAATCTCATTATTGATCCGTGCATGGCCTTTTTTACTTTATTCATACAAATTTATTTACATGTTTTAATAATGTTATGAATTCCTAACGAAACCTACTACCTCATTAATTTTTTTGGAAGAATCAAACCCTGGCAAGAATCTTTAACCACCTCTGTGGACTTTCCTACCCTGTACTTCCTCCCTCCCAAGGAAACACTCCTAAACGTGGTGTTTATCATTCCCTTGCTTTTTAAAACTGAGATGGTGTTTTTGAACTTTATAAGAATCGTGCTCTGTGCAGTCTTTCAGGAATTACTCTTTTGACGCAACTGAAATTAACATACGTCATCCAGAGCTGCAGTTCATTTTCTCTGTGATCTCCTGTTCCATTAAATGAATATACCACACTTCCTGTTAGTGAACATTTGGGTTGTTTCCAGTTTATTGATATTATAAACAGTGCTGCTTTAAATACTTGTATTCTCATTCATGTGTCTTGGTATACAATTTCTCTAGGAGTGGAATTTGCTGGGTTACTGAATATGTGAATGTTTAATCTTGGCAAACAATTCGGCATTGTCTTACAGTGGTTGTGCTACCTTACACTCTCCCCAGCAGTACATAAGGATCCCCTGGATCCTCCCCAACATTCAGTATTATTCTGGACTTTTGCCAGTGGACTGGGTATAAAATGCTATTTTATTGTGGTCTTGATTTGTGCTTCTTGGTTTAGAATGAGGTCAGTCATCTTGTCACCTATTAGCCATGTATATTT